GCAAATTAATCATCAAACACCGGTTTAGAATAAGTGAGCATGTGAACTCAACGGTGCTGATGTCATTGATAAAAGGGTAATATAATCAATTATAATTGACAATAAATTTTGAGAAACACAGTTTTTGTGTGATCTACCTAATTCTAATTCGCATTGGTTCATTCTAAAAACATTGTTATATAAAGACATAAAGTTTGGTTTAGTCTAGTTGGTATACTTCGTTTACTTTCTGTAGCGATGTGACCTTCAGTTTGACCGGCGCAAACTAGAAAAGAACAGTACTAGGCCAGAAAAGGAAGGAGATAACTCTCGGCCAAACTCTTAAGCGGTGAGGAGCGTATAATCCGTACAGTACTGCACGGAAAAATTGACCATTTTATCCACTAAAATTGCATTGCTCAAATGTGCTGTTATTGGTACCATTAACCACTGAAAATATCAACGAGATGTTTATTTATATTTGAAGACATATTAAAGGCTTTAACGCACTACTATTCATGATTGAACAAAACTTTTGGCAGGTACTGTATGGAAAATTATGTTTAATGAACAAGAGTCAAGAGTATAATGAGCTTTTTTCTCCCTACCTACTATTTTACCAACGCGCATCCAAGACAATGGAAGGGGCACATCGCTAGAGAAAGTAAATGAAGTATAGTTAATATTACTATTATACGACAGTGAGTTTAAGTAACTTTACATTTGACGACTGTGTAACACACTGTTGAAAAAGAGGATTAATAGGAGCATTAAGGAAGTTTTACGAGCTTTCACAGTCGTTTGCTTTTATGTATTAATCGAGTGCTTTATGCGTTCCTTGTGGCGGGAATGGGGAGAAATTATTGTCGCAGAGGTCACCTTGCCCCCTGTAGGGATTAAAGCAACATGAAATTACACTTACAACAAATTTTATTAAGGCAGTTTATATTTTATTAACACATGTTCCTAGCCGTTAATGCCGCATTGTATCGTTCAAGTACAAAACAATGTACGAAGAGCTTTATTCAACGTTGCAATAAAAAGTTATTTATCTATTTTGCCCGCCACATGCATATGCATACGGCTACATATACATCGTCGTTCGTCGTACATGACAGGTACTGATATTTTAATGAGATGCTCAAATGCACTGTCGATTCACGCAACAAAACCGAACGTTACCTTGGAGAAAACATCAATGAATTTAACAGTGGCGAATAAGGTCCCATAACCACATAATATATATATACATGTGAAATCACAGAGATTTCTACTGCTGACCTTATAGAACCCCCAACCCTAATTCAGAAGTCAAAACATATTACGAATGATCTGATCATAAATCGGTAGAGGAGAACAGGGACAATCCTTGATGATACGGATCAGATTGCTCATTACTTTTTTCGATCAGATGTTCTTGTTAAGAACACTAACTGAACAAAAGCATTAAGAATCTAACAATAAGTAAAAACATACCTAACCAAAGTCTTTTAAAAATTTTCAAAAAAATTGAAATTACGAATGAGTTACGGATTGGATAGCATTCCTACTTTTTATCTATCAAGCTTGGGGGCGACTTGGTATCATTGATATCAGCGCTGCAATTCAAGTGAGCCTAAATTAGTCTAACTCCTATGCATATATTCATGGTCTTTAGATAAGATTGAATGGATGATGTTTCTTTAGATGAAGATGAATGATCACCGTAAGAAGTTAGCATTATGAATTACACCAATAGGTATTATAAAAGTTTCAAGAATTTCAGTTCCTCGACATATATTAAAATTTATAATATGATTCATCATCATGAGATGTTAGACATGTGCCTGAACTTATTCCTTTTTTGAGGGATTTCTGGGAGCAGTAATTTAAACTAATTCTATCTGATTCTCTTAACTCCCGTTTCCAAGTGCCCTATCAAACTATCTCGCCTATTTCTTACTGACTTCCTACTCTTTCTAATACTTCCTCATTTCTATCTCCTTCCACAGCATTTAGAACATCCTCTCCCATATATAGAGCTAATCTTTTTTGAATTTCCAAATTAATCAATCGCGAGTACAAAAGCGATCTGTTTTGTTAAAAGCGATACGACTCTATGCTGATTTTTGTTTTATATAGATATCTAGCGCTTTTCCTAGACTGTTGAATCCTTAAACATTACAGTACACAACAGATTGTAGAAATTTTATACAAAATATGATCCGTATCACGTTCGACATAGAAATCGGTTCTTTAATAAAATACTGTAAATTATTTTCCCCATTTAAGGAAATTTCCCGTTAATAGAGCATACGAAATGAGTGCAATTTAGCTGTACCCATTGCAGAGCGCATCTCCTTACGCGGTAAAACCTACAACGACGTACCTAAAAGCAAAGGATAATACACTCCATGCAACTTTTATGGTTCGACATACAGTTTGCTAGCGCTGCCAGACGTTCGAACAAAAGGATCTCTATCGTTGTCCGCGGAACAGTAAGTCCTGTTTCTTATTGCCCGTATCTATTTTATACGGAAGCTGATCGGAGCATATCTAACAATACAATACGTTTACGATATGCTCGTATTTATTATTTAGAGCGCCAATAAATATATATGGGAATGGTGGTTGGTACGTACTCTTGTTCTTACTAATCTCGCGGCAACAAGGAGCAAAGATACCGCAAACCGTTGCAAATTTTTAACGATAAACTTCAATCCACATTTCTTAGTACATAGTTTTATACCCTATACTTTCTAGATGTGATCCAAGAATTGACAAAAGTAATACGTTAATAGAAAATACTACAAATGGCGCGATAAACGCCATCTGTAGTACGATGCTACATTTTAGGATTACGTATGCTCCAACAAGGTCCAGTAAAATATATGGATATCTACTTGCTGAAACGAATCCCGGCGTAGCTAACCTCAACGTGATAGGCACGTTACCATAATCGAATAGAATAATTCGATTTAGAAAATTAAGGATTACGTAATCCTAAAATGTAGCATCGTACTACAGATGGCGTTTACCGCGCCATTTGTAGTATTTTCTAAAACACGCTGTTAAGACAGGAGGTAACAGTTGGTCTATGTTCTGTCGGAGCTGCCTGCGACGCGCTGATGAGATCCAAAAAGGTCGAAATAGCGATCCGCGTCTGGCAGTTTCGACAGAATACAGACCACTTCGAATTATTTTATTCTAATACGTTAATAATTTAGATATTGTTTTATAAAAAAAACTCAAAATAAAGAAACTAATAAAGCATTGTATGCTATAGATGTTAAGGAGAACCGCCCAAAAGCATTTCAAAGAAACAAAATGTATAAAACTGAATATAGCATTAAAAAAATTCGGAAATCTTTAGATTTGAGCTTAACATCTGTATTTGTCTAATGAAGATAGCAGGTGCAGTTCCACAATGAGGCAACCATCTAAGAATTTATGATAAATAAATTTATGATAATTATTTTAAAAATTGATAACATTAAAAATAGCGTGTCAATCTTCTATGTCTGCTTCCGATCATGACTCTTGCAACTACACTTTATGAAAAAATACTTACCTTTACCTTTTTTAATTGTGCCAATATTGTTAATATCATTNATGGTTTCAAGGTCTCTGGATAATCTCCAATCCACTCTTTTTCACGCCGTCAAGAAGAACTGGAGAATGAGATGATCTGGTAAAAAATAAATTTATGATAATTATTTTAAAAATTGATAACATTAAAAATAGCGTGTCAATCTTCTATGTCTGCTTCCGATCATGACTCTTGCAACTACACTTTATGAAAAAATACTTACCTTTACCTTTTTTAATTGTGCCAATATTGTTAATATCATTCTTCCAAGATGCGTTTTTATACATTTGGAATTTGCCAGAACCGAAGGTTCATTTAAAAAATAAGTTTTACAACATTTTAGGAAAAAAATTATTTCATCTTATTACAGCATCTTCTCGGGTATGTTTTACGAAGAGAAGACGGTTCCTTAATTAATAAAATTCATTTACTATCTAAGAATAACTGATATGTTTTTCTTCTTGTATTAAGAAAATTAAATAAATTAAAATTATCTAATAGATACTTGGCTAAGGAACTCCATCAACAGCTTGAGTAGATCACCGAAACAATTCACGAAATAAACTTGCCTTTAGTTTATGAATGAAGTGTGCTTTGCCTTATACGTAATACACTAATATCTTTCTAGATTTTGTTCCAGTGCTTCATAATTAACCTCTAATTAATAGGTATCTATGCTTTTTTATTACGTAATAAAATCATAATCGTTATCTGTGGCCGCTACTATACATGTACGTATACATTTCAGCAGTTAGGTAGTTTAAGGCGTTAACTTTATTTGCTTGTCATGCGAACATTGGTAGAATGTTTTAAGAACAGTCTAATTAGATAATTACACGATTTACGGCATCGTATAGAGCGCATTTCCCCGTTTACTCTTGGCAATAGAATTAACTGATGGTCGAGTTTGAGCAAAAACTGGCGCCCGAAAGCAAATTAATGTTCTCTCATGCTGATTGCGTTGGCGATATTTGCATATAAAAAGTTGTTTTCTATGGCTTTACTCACTGTTTGTTTACTTGTAAAAAAATGGTTAAATTGCTTCCGAGAAGTCAAACGCTTTTACAACCAGCGCTAACAGGCGGACGGAACGGTCAGTTACGGAACGGAAGAATGGATCATACACGTAACATTAGGTAACCATAATCGTATGCACATACTTAAGTGTATGACACATCTTGTTTCATTCATTACGGAATGTAATTTCAATAGATGGGTACAATAGGGTAATGTAAGGTCGTACCGGAACATTTATTGACAATTACTTGCTACTACATTATTTCCTTTTGTAATTTACATTCTACGACTGTCTTCGAATGTCATTTATGTAGTGACAGAAACAGCAATAAAATTGTTTAATGAAACTTTTTAATTAATGTTTGTTGCTAAATTAGTCTTTCAATTTTCGCGAAAAAGGCTAATTAGCAATTAACAAATTGGGGTATGTTTCTAGGCCCCTATCCTTTACAATAGTAAGGAATTAAAGGGAATAATCGTATAAATAACCTACTAGCAATAACTACAGAAAGCAATAAAACACTTACATGCATAGATGGTTTCAAGGTCTCTGGATAATCTCCAATCCACTCTTTTTCACGCCGTCAAGAAGAACTGGAGAATGAGATGATCTGGTAAAAAATAAATTTATGATGGTAACATTGATAACATATTAAATTAAAATCAATTTTCATTCTTTTTAAGTGCAGACAAATTCATGTTTTACAAAAAAATTATACAATGTTTTGAGCATCTTTAAAAACCACATAAATTTCGGTAGCACATTATTCTACATTGTCTTGGGCCTTTACCGAAGGAAAACTGTGAACAATTATTAATCCTAATATGTTTATAATTGTGACTGAAAATTGGACAAATACTAAAGACAGAATCCATAGTACTGCAGTGAGTAAAACAAAAAATTGACGACATAGGCTGTTAGGACACCTTCTCAGACATCAAGGGATGAAATGAAAATTAAAAGCCATCAAACGACCATTAACGCATTGCGATTAATGCTTAGAAAAGGTAAGCAAGTATGTAGAAAATTTTATTCATTTTACTGTGACTACAGATATCGTAATTCCACCCACTACTATCGGAGTTACCTTGTGATAGCATCTCAGTCGACGGATGCAAATGAAGCAGTTTGGACATAGGAGAAAGTCATTGTAAACAACGGGAGCGCCTCATTGGCAGTTTAAACAACGTTAATTTTTGTCGTGATTGGTCGCAGCACGCTATCAATCCGCCTTATAAAATACGTGACGGTCGATTGTAATAATAGTAATAAGGTAGAGGTACTGGCTTGGTCGTTTGTGTTGTTATTTTTTCAATGTCACCAGACCTGCTGCTGAATTACTGTTGTAAAATGACCCCATTTTAATACCAAATCGAGTTATTTAAGTGAATGCTAAAGGGAAATTATTTTAATAGAACATAAATGAGAATTTGCATGCGAACCAATTTTATTCAATGACATGCTACGTATATCAATCAGAGAAATGGACACGAGATTTCAATCTTATCTAGAATATTCGGATAATAACAGGGGTTGGTAAAGGTCTAAATGGGTGGGGGGGATTGAAAGAGGAGGTCTCTCCCACCACTGTAACATAAAAAGTTCGTGGCGGTCTCACCCCCATAAAAAGTTATGGGGGTTCAAAGTTAATAAATATGCCAATTTTTATACATTTCTAGGCATGTAAATATTTATATACCTAGTCATTCTTAAACAATATTCAAAGGTAACACTAATGGAAAATACATAAAAATATTGAGAGTTATATAAATTTAAATATCTTTATCAATAGATTGGGTTAGGTTAGGTTATCGGGTNAATTTTTTTATTGAATTTTATTTGAATTATAGTGTATGAAAATAAGGAACTTTCAACCCCTATAACTTTTTATGGGGGTGAGACCGTCGAAATTTTTTATGGGGTTTTACTCAGATAACCACCCTCTTTCGATTCCCCCTAACTTCTTTCGATCCCCTCTACCCCCACCTCCATCTAACCCCCATAACTTTTTATGGGGGTGAGACCGCCACGAACTCTCTATGGTACAGTTGTGGGAGAGACCTTCTCTTTCGATCCTACCCCTTTCGGGGGTGGGGGCCATCATCTAGACATTCACCCAGGGGTTATTTTTCTGAGCAGGTGGACGTGGTCAAACCACCAGAAATAAGGGATAGATACAGAGGGTCATAGGCGTCATCGAGATAATAGTCAATAATTTACAGAAATGCAGACCTTCACTGAATTACACTAGAGTTAATTTCCCTAAAGTGTGTAAATAAAAATGTGATCAAACGTTAGATCTGCATAAAGCGACCGCGTCCAGATTCCATCATAACAAGTGTTTACTAAAAAGTTTTTGCAGAGAAAGCTCATTCCTGTTTGAAGTTGAACTATGCTTGTTTAAAGCAAAAAGGGTGAAGAAATTGCCACAAATTTTCAGACAAAAACTAATGAACGTTAATTTACCTTGTACATTGATGTTTTGATTTTACGCCTTAACTACTGAACCGATTATCATGAAATTTTGTACACTCGGTGTCAGGGTTACAGGATATTATATAGGGTACCTTTAATCCAGAAAAAAACAGAAAAAATAGTATTTCCAAATGATAGAAGAATTAGTTTTATGTGGTCGAATTCATGCTTCAACTACTCAATCGAACATCATGAAATTTTGTAGGTACACTTTCGGGGGTACAGAAAAGTACATAGGGTACCTTTTATCCAGAAAAAAGGTACCCTTTCCAAGGGATAGAAAAATTAGTTTTATGTGGTCGATTTCGCGCCTGAAATACTCGATTGATCATCATGTAATTTTGGAGATACATTGTCAGAGATACAAAAAAGGGCATGGGTACCTTTTGTCCAGAAGAAAAAATGCTGTTTCCGAGGGTTGGAAAAATTAGTTTTTTGTAGTCGATTTTACACCTGCAATACTCCATCGATTATCATGAAATTTTGTAGACAGATTGTCAGGGATATAGAAATTGATATGGGTACCTATTGTCTAGAAGAAATAAATGCTGTTTTCGAAGGATAAAATAATTAGTTTAATGTGGTCATCGAGGATTTTTGGCACGTATTTAAGATATTAACGCGAGCGAATCCGCGGGTAAAATCTAGTAAGCAATAATTGATCCTAGTCAAGTAATAACAGGAATACCTATAAATAACTAAAATGAACGAAAACGTTTAAATTAATTTAAAAAAAGTCCTGATGGCTGATGGCGTTTCTCGTTTTTTTCTGACTCGTTACGACTATGGGTTAATTAGTGACTTACATTAAACCTTAATGATATAAGGTGTTTGACGTAAATGTCTAATTCAAGAAAGAAATCCTGCACATGATCTGAGAAAACTGCTAAGATTTGATTGTTTGGAGCTTTACTGAAGTTGGCAGCATTAGCTGACGAAACAAGGAATTTATAACCAACAATAAATCAACTTATATTATAATTTAAATGGTTTTCTTTCCATTAAATAAAAAATTACCGTTAAATGTACTTTTAAGTCTTTATTTTGTTTTTATTTAAGACGTACCTAGGAGCAATTTTAAATTTTTTAATTTTTAAGTTCTTAAATACACCATGTAATTAGTTGAATTCTGTTAACGACGTAATAAAACAACAAGCAAGGAAACATTAAGTAAATTATAGTTTTAAAGTGAGGGAGGGAACTTTTAAGTATAATTAAATACTTATAGTAGACTGAGTAACGTGTAGGTATAAAATACAAAAAAATTACTTACCCTTAAATATTAGAGACATGGAATGTAGATATTTTTATCACCATATCTACCGCATCTATGGAAACTGTTGCGCCAACAGATCTGAAAACAAAAAGAAACTTCTACACATTTCGAAATAATATAAAATAATAACCACCTGTTATAGTAACATCAGAAAGAAGCTATCGATAATTACTAATTATTCAATAATAGATTATTCAGAAATTGGCAAAAGCTCTATCTAGGTAGATTATTTCCCAAATCAAAAAACAATAATGCTTTATTAAATCTAAATTAATGAATAATAAAAATGCTTATTTGTAATAATAAATTCGAACAAAAGCAATTTATTGTTCAGAAATAAAATCGTTAGAGGAGCAACGTGATGTCACTAAAAAGAAGCGATGTGATTTTTTCTTTTAAATTATATACTTGTGCACAATATATTATAAGTAGATAAGTTTGGATGCAATTTAAAAGTGATACATAATTAAAATGATTAATTTACAGTAATGTAATAGAATGTTAGGTACCTCTTTAAATGATAACACCCCTATAGTTAATAATCGATATTAACGATTAGACATTTAACTCAGGATTGTTAGAATACCTAATTGATAGAATTAGCCGCCTCGCATTAAAACAATTCCCTTTTACTTTAATTAGCCAATAAAATCACGACGTACTGAATACACAATAAATATTAATTAATAAATATTAAAACTATGTTACTTTTTATTATTTACGTAATAATATCCCTAATACCTAATTATTATTCAGATTCTCGTTACCAAGGCAACCATCTGTTACGTCACTAACAAGAACTGATGTGATCCTTATTCTTGTTAAAATTACAGCCACACTATTATAATGTTGAACTAAAGATATAATAAAATAATAAAAACGAAATATGAATATCTAGCGTTTGCAATAAATATATATAAATAGGTACCTAAATCTGTACTGTACATTCTTGATAAACGTTCCAAAATTTAGATTAGCTTATTACCACTATTATTACACAACGAAACGAAATTCGATATAAATCACGCGAACAAACCCGCGACGGTACACAGAGTGAAAGCTCTCAGTAATGGCTCGTTTCCCGAAACACACGAAAATAGCCGAACAGATTAGAAGAATCATCTATTACCAACCTAAAGAATTGCAAATAAGTATATACTCAACGATAACATTTATATGATTTATAAGGACGTAGTAGACTCATTGAGAAAGCTATAAATATCATCTTTTTATGAATTTAAAGATAATGGATCTTTATAAATATGATCGAATTGACAACAGCTATATTTGGTATTATTCAAAAATATAAGAGGTTTAATAAATAATTTACGAGAATGAGGAAATGTCAAGATAAATTTACTCCTTTATTTCCGATAGAAGTCTAAGAATAATTCGGAAAAGCTCGTTGTAATACATATACTTAGACAGGTGACTGTTTTACAGAGATCTATGCTAAATCACACTGGGACGATTAATTATTTTTAATTCCAAATTTTTGATTATTTCGTTTTATTGTTTTAATTACTTTTTCAAATACGCATTCTCCTGTAAATTTTGTGATTGATCGATAAGGACATTAGTTTAATTGCGAAATTTAATTTGTAAGTAACCCTTTTATCTTTTAAAAAAATAGTGACAATTCAATGCAACGAATAAAATCGAAGTAAACAAATCGCAAACAGTTTAGTTCGTGTAAAACAGATCTGATAAATGAATATTCATTCGAAGTCATAAACACAATTAACAAGGACAGGGTCGGATCTGTTTAATGGTACTATAGAACATGTAATGAGGAAATCAAAGAAAATATATTGCGGAATTTTTGAATGAAAACAACGAAATAAATGACAGGAATTTACCCAGTCAGCAGGCGCGCGAATATTTCAGCATTTCTACTCAATGAACATCGCATTCATTCGCATTCCTTTCCAAGGAATTGTTCACTGGATGAATGGAAGGAATATAATCGCACTTTACGTTCAATTTCATAAAAGTTTTAACTGTAAAGTCATTTTTACATATCCTCAGTATTAATCCTGGGCAAAAATATCGATTCGTCGATAGTTATTGATAATTATCGGTATATGGATAGCAATAATAGTAACTAATAACTATTAATATGTTGACATATCAATATAATCGATAAGTATTGATAGTTATATCGATAACAATAAGCAACTGATAACTATCGATATATAGGGGCATCATTTTTCATTAATAGTAGATATAGATTTGGTTAACTAGAGTTCTATGAATTTGGGCACACTTTTTGTCTACTGATATTCTGGGAATCCCCTAAAAGTTGACAGTATCTCTATTCCTTTTAATTGCAACAAATTTAATATGCTTTTTTTTATCAAAAGTGTACAAAACTTAGTTTATAACTTGAAAAAAAGATAAACATCTTGTCGAAATTGGATTTGTTTAAATATTGAATTTTGGCTACTCACTACTTCATTTAGTTTTTCCTTAATGCTCAAAAATAGGACCGAAAGTAGTCTGTATTAATAAGTTCCAAATCTTTCATCCGCTAAATATTTTCACTTAAAACATGGAATTATACATCATATTATAAAAGAACTAATGGAAGACCTAACAAAGAAATAATAATACATTAATTTCAAATCCAAGGTCAAGAATCTCAACATTTAATCTATAGTAGTTGTTTTGTTCTCTATTCGAGACTTTTTTGCTAGCTTGTACCAAAATCTTAGAATTTTTTTTTAGGACTATTCCTCTTTTTCTATTTCATTCATCAGAATCGTCACGTACGTTTGAAATCATCAATCATTTCTAGGGGATTGAGAAGATTTCTGGAAACAGTTGTTTGTTTGTACTGAAAACCATCCAACTATTGAAGGTGCTGCAAGTTAAAATTTAAAAGGAGTTTGAGGAGGATAGATAGAACCAGAACATAGTCTAGCGGTTCCCAATTTTCTTTTGCTACGGAACCCTTTCTGACCCACCCTTTCTTGACGGAACCCCTTCTCGACAAAAAAGGAGAAAGAGATAATAGTTTAATGTCTGACTCCTAACACCGAATTATGTACATGTTTTTCAGATGGAATTCTGAATTCAAAATCTTTATTGTTCGTATATATTTAATGTTCACATTTTTGAACACAATAGCGTTAAAATTTGCAGTTCAATTCGATTATCCGGAGTGGTATCCAGTCTAGTTTTGAATTTGTTTTTAGTGTAAGCGTAAACTAAGAAGCTCGTCACTAATCTGAAGTCGAAATAAATAGAAACAAGAACCGTGATAACCTTCCGAACGACTGCAGGGTATTCATCATTAAGTTTGATCCGAAGGTCACTCAAATTTGAATCAGCTGATTCGAATTTTTGTTTTAAGAAGGATGAATCCTTAATATCGATAAAGTTCTCATACTCCAACATAGTTAACATTGATGATTTAGTTTCATTTGCCAATGGATTGTGTATATTAACAATGACTGCCTATCCTGTGACTGTATGACTCCTCTAGAAAATACTGTTTCAAGGATTTTTTGTGTTTCAATAGATGGTCGTATATAGTTAGATACTGAATGATTGCTTGTCGCAGAATTTTGTATATTTTTACTTAGGCAACAAACGTCGTATCTCACGGAACCCTTTGTCCCTTTCACGGAACAACAGGGTTCCGTGGAACACAATTTGAAAACAGTTGGTCTAGTTGGTCTATTAAATATTTATGATAATCATATGACAGGGCGCAGTTGTAAAATACCACAGGGCAGAACAAAATCGGTTTCACTATATTTTGTATCACTGCTTTCTTTATCTCTGTCTAACAATTATACCAATATCCATTAAAAAAAATGTCGTCCTGTATGTACCTAAAAGACGTACACGAGTCGGCTGTCGTAAACCTATAAAATTCATTGTGTTCAAGTGTAATAAAAGTACACCCCCACACGAGCGCGCCGTCTTGTTCTACAAACTACAGATAACGAGTTATTTATTTTTGTAAATGTGGAGCACCATTTACATAATAAAACCGTTCTGGTCATGTCGAGTTTTTCGTGTGTGCACAATGAGCTCTTGAACTGGAAACAAAACGATGTTCTCGTAGACGCTTAGGTAATAGCGCAATAATACGAGTTGCACTTTGCTCTTATAAAGCTGTTAACTGAACGGACATGGTCGGGCAACACGAGAGAATGCAAATTTGAACAATATCAACCGAGTATATTGAAATTACCGTTTGATTCTCGACAGGAACATATTATTAACTAAAAGCTCGTGTTATCTCCGGCGTTACCATTCCTAAATGGTAAACTTCACATGATACCACCCATACTTTAGGGCAAAACGATTTACAAGACAAATTGAAAACACGTATGTAGGGTTGTTGGAAACAAGTGTGGGCATTTTGATACTTAATGTGATATAAGTCGTAATTATATTGTCTTTGTGTAAGCGAAAACAAACGCCCAGCAAGGAGCTTTAAAAGGACAGCTCAATCTATCATATGCATCATGAACATCATCATCCTGAGTAGGATTTATTTTGGAAATTCCCAAATTCCAATTGGGTCTCTATTGGAGATTGTTGGAATTTCCCAACTATACCCAACGAATTTTAATCTGCGTATTTTAGGGCAATCCCAAGCTTTGCTCGAACTGCACGTCTCAACTACAATCTTATTGAAGAGTAATTAATAACTATTTATCCTATTAATAATTATTTTTTATACTTTAATGTAACAGTTGGCCATTTATTGGAAAGTATTCATTGGGACCCAATTGGGATTTCCCTAACTATATCTTAGACTCATTTTATTGTAATCCAAGAAGACATTTTGAAGTCCTTTTTTTGTTTACAAAATCTATGTCTGTAACTAGCCCTTCAAGAATGACAAGGTGTACTACCAACCTCTGTTCTCCTACCCTTTCTAATAACTCCTCATTTCTAACCATCTCTATCTAGGGTATCTTGATCATTCTCCTGTAACACCTTATTTCCAACAACACTTCTAACCCTTTTTTTCAACTGCTCTGCAAAGGTTACTCGCTATTCTCTATTATGTATCTTCCTGAATTATCTGACATCCTAAATAAAAAAAATCAGCGACT